TGAAGAAAAATAAATCTCATACTATGGAAGGGCTCATGGCAGTATAAATTCATATTGTCATTCTGGAGAATATATATATACACATTTTTTGGTACCAGGGATCGAACTAGGGTCCTTGGGCTTGCGAGGCAGGCAGTGGAACCACTGAGCTAAATCCCCGGCCCTATGTATATACATTTTACAATGGGATTTTATTATGTTGCCCAGTCTCGTTTCTTAACTTTTGGACTGAGTCATCCTCCTAGCTCAGCCTTGTGAATGACTGACAGTACAAATGCTTCCACTACACCCAGGTGTGAAAGAAGCATTTTGTAGTCCAAAGGGGAAGGATAAATTTATTTAAATTTGGGCCTTTCCAAACACATGCCCAGAAATGAATGTCCCTAGCCCGCACATTGGGCAGGAACCCTCTAGGTCCCCAGCAGGGCACTAGGCTCTTGGTCCTACTCATGACTAGGGAAGACTGGAGGTGCAGGGGGAAAGGACGAAAGGAGGTTGTGATGGCCACTGGTGTTCTGTGTACACCAGCCTGGCCCAAGCTTACCTGCTGCTCTGCCCTCCCATGGGACAGATGACAAGTTAGCCTGAAGATAGATGATCTGGTCAATCATTTCTTTTAGACAACCAAAAAGACTTGTGTTTAGGAGCGATCCAGTAGACAGGTCTCTTCACGTTTACATATATTCTCTACCATGGAAACCAACAGACCCTCTGATGTCATCACTACCCACTGAGGTCACATGCGGAATCTTGAGGTGATGGGCAGGCTATAGGCCCTCAGTGTGTGGTGGCAGAGAGCAGGAAGAAGGCAGAGGAGGCCATCCTGGGTTCTGTGGTCCTCCTTACCCACATTCTTCTCAAGTAGCCACTTTTTGTGTAGCATTCCTGTGGGAGGCCACATCTCCAGTGAAACACAGGAGGGCAAGAAAATCCCAAATGATGATATGGGCAGGACAGTCAAGATTAATCCAAGAGACAGGTTGCACAGCTCTGACTCTGAGAATTCAACAGTAAGAAAGGCAGAGCTTTTGCTAGATTAGGGGATGAGAGAACACACCTCAGTGGTGGGCCTAAAGCATATGTGAGATTTGAATATCATACATGCAAGACATTGCATTTGAGAAAAATAAAAGACAATGTTGTCTTGATGTTTTTCTTCCTCATGTGTACACTCTTAGAATATTCATGGTTTTTTGTTTTTTTTTGGTACCGGGGTTCGACCTTGGGATTGACTTTTGAGGCAGGTGGCAGAACCACTGAGCTAAATCCCCGGCCCGAATATTCATGTTTTTACAAATGAGTTCTCAAAAACAAACACGGAGGTAAAAGGGCCTAGTCAAGGTAACGGTGGTGCTAGAGTGAAGTTCTGCTCAACAGTGAGGTTCCATGTTGTTCGTGTTTGGCTCAGAATTTTGTTTTTGTTTTTGTTTTTGGTACCGGGATTGTACTCTGGATCTTGCACTTGCACGGCAGTCCCCGGAACCACTGAGCTAAATCCCTGGCCCTGGCTCAGTCTTTATAGCAGGGACTACTGTGGACAAGCTCATCACTATTGGAGGTGCCAGACCCTGGAGAGGAAGTCCAAGTTTTTCAGAGGCAAATGAGGATCTCTAATGACTTAACAAGGTAAGAAGGAAAGACCCATTTTTTTTTTTTTAGGTTCTTTTATTGGTACATTTTAGGTATACAATTCGTTTACATTTATCACTGGGTGTTTGTACCTGTACATAATGTATCTTGGTTCTTATTTTTTTCCCCATTACCTGTGGGTCCTTCATCCCCTCCACCCTTCCCTATTTACATAGACATCATTTCCATTTTTTTTTCTTTTCTCATAGTTTTTCCTTTCCCCTTCCCCTCCCTTCACCTGTTCATCTTTGGACCTTTTTTCCTATTTCAAATTATCAATTATTCATTTTAATCATTTTAATCCTTGTTTACACTACCAGTTTCTCACACTAGAGAAACTATTCGGTATTTACACATGTGTGTCTTATTTATTTCACTTAAGAGGATGGCCTCAA